ACACGGCAGTCTTTTCCTGATTCATATGTTAGACTGTGCTCTCTTTTGGTATTTCCACGCCGGTGGAAAGCCATTATGGCGAGTAGCCTTCAGTAATAGTAATAAATCACACAGCAGTAGTACATTCATGTAGTTGTAAAAAGCATGATAATATATTAACTAATCCAAAGTATTTGGAATACGTTACTCGCATTGAGTAACGTAATGGAATACCTTACAAAATACATTTTGGGGCATGTATTCTGTAATCTGTAGTGGAATACATTTTAAAAGTAACCTTCCCAACACTTTCCACAGTGCTCACACAAAGTGTCTTCTTCCACTTAAGCCTTCAGTTGTGTGATTTAACCACTCAAACGTTTTCGCAGGAGAGACTGACTGCATGGCTGGTGTCTGTGAAGCTGTCCTTTGACAAGAGAGGCAGCAAAGTGACCGGAGGATGGAGCTCTGAAATGATGATAAAGATGCTCAACATGGGAACTGACTTGACCAGACCATTTGAATATCTGCTGGCCACTGGAAACCTCCAGTCTAAGACAGGTCCTGTCCAAGACTAATACATGGTCAGCTTTGAAAATTCACTATAACATTCATTCATTCATCTAAAAATGTGCTCCCTCCTCCCACAGGTCTGGGCATGCTGCAGAACACTGGGCTGTGTGTTGTAGCTGACAAGCTCAACTTCATTCGCTACCTGTCTCACTTCCGCTGCGTGCACAGAGGAGCAGCGTTCGCTAAGATGAGGACCACCTCTGTGCGTAAGCTGCTGCCCGAGTCCTGGGGCTTCCTGTGTCCTGTCCACACTCCAGACGGCGAGCCTTGCGGACTCATGAACCACATGACAGCCAGCTGTGAAATTGTGGCATTGACCTTGTCCACCACGTCACTGCCTGCTCTGCTCTGTTCGCTTGGTGAGGACTCACTTCAGGCAGTTGTTGTACAATCTTACCCAGGACCAAAAGCTAGTCCATTGTCTACCACAGAACTAGACTCTATAGATTTGTGACAATTAGGGAGGAGAGGTCGGCGCGTGTGTGTGCAAATGAGAGACATAGCAGTACTTTCATGAATCAATTGTTAAATAATACTTTTTTAAGGTATTCCAATAACAGTGACCTGCCTGTGGGGAAACGTCATTAAAGTAATGCTGAAATAAAAGATTAACTCAGGCAGTCATTGATATACTTCGTAGGCCTGGCCAGGTAAAGTCTCTGCACGTGGCACTGGGTTGAAATGCGTTTGCTGTATCTGCTCGTTTAGGTGTCACTCCAGTGGATGGAACTCCTGGTCGGGCCTTCGCAGACTGCTACCCTGTGGTCCTGGACGGTGCTGTTGTTGGCTGGGTGGAGGCTGACTTGGCTCCAGTTGTGGTTGAATCACTGCGCAGGTTCAAGGTACCGGTATTGTCTTCTGTTAGCTGCTCCCTTTAGCTGCACCACAGTGGCTCATCTGCCTCCATCCCTAGAATCCTCCCCTGTCACATCGGCCCTCTGCATGTCCATCCATGAATCTTTTCTTGCTCTTTTTCTCCTGCCTGGCAGCTTTATCTTCAACATCCTTTGTCCGGTATATCCACTGTCCCTCCTCTGCACATCCAAACCATCTCAGCTTTGCCTCTCTTCGTTTATATTAATTTCTCATTGCCTCCATCCTGGTCTCTCCCAATGAAAAGCTATGATAACATAAGCTCCACCTCTTTTTGTCAGTTCATCAGAGCAGGTCTTGCTACCTACTTAAATCCCTTTTGCTCTTGTTGCTATCACCTCTGACACTGGTCTCCATCCACTCTACCCTGCCTACACTCTCTTCTTCACTTCACTTGTGCACTGTCTGTTGCAGGTTCACGGTATACTAACTCCTGCTTGGTGTCACCTGTGTATACTGTGCAGAAAACTGATCTTTAAAACTTATACCTCCAGGTGTTAAGAGAGAAGAAGATTCCTCCCTGGACAGAGATTGTCCTGGTTCCCAAAACAGGCAAGGCCAGCTTATATCCAGGCCTGTTCCTCTTCACAACACCTTGTCGCATGGTGCGGCCTGTACAGAACTTGGCTTTTGGCAAGCAAGAGTTGATTGGCACCTTTGAACAGGTAATGTGTTAAAAGTGGAGGTTTTTTTTTGTAGCTGTAAGAGCACCGTTTTAGTCCGAGCACCTTTTCTCCTTTGCCTGCAGCTTTACATCAATGTCGGAATCTTGGAGAATGAGATTGAACCAAGAGTAACCACACACCAGGAGCTCTTCCCTCACAGTATGCTCAGTGTGGTGGCAAACTTCATCCCATACTCGGACCACAACCAGAGTCCCAGGAACATGTACCAGTGTCAGATGGGTAGGTTATTTGAATCTTTTCTTTGACAGTTTTGAGCAAACCCACATTTTCCATGAACCACTGTGCTCATTCCCCTTATTTCAGGTAAGCAGACTATGGGCTTCCCGCTACACTCTTTCATGGATCGCTCTGATAACAAGCTGTACCGGCTCCAGACCCCACAGAGCCCACTAGTCAGGCCTTATATGTACGACCACTACGGCCTCGACAACTACCCCAGCGGCACCAACGCCATTGTGGCCGTCATATCCTACACAGGCTACGACATGGAAGATGCCATGGTGAGTTAAATGAAACTGTTCTCTATATTTAATCGGGATAGGGTTGAACTCTTGACACATGTTGTTTTCATCAGATTGTGAACAAGTCGTCATGGGAGAGAGGCTTTGCCCATGGAAGTATCTACAAGACGGAGCTGGTGGACCTGGCAGAGAAGGTGAAGGGAGAAGACGGCGTGGTGTTTGGAACCAAGCCAGGCGACCCCAAAGTGAAAGAAAAACTAGACGCTGATGGACTGCCCTTCATCGGATCGGTGCTTCAGTATGGAGACCCTTTCTACAGCTACATCAACCTCAACACTGGGCAGACCTTTATCTCCTACTACAAGTACGCGATAACATTTTTGTAGCAGTGTGATCATTTTTCATCAGCTCAGTTGTAAAATACCTCTGTTATTCACATTTTATGGTTCCTCTTCTCTGTTTGCAGGAGTCAGGAAGCCTGTATTGTTGACAACATAAAGGTCTGCAGTAATGACGGCGGCTCAGGCCGCTTCAAGCGCGTGTGCATCACTGTACGAATGCCCCGAAATCCCACCATCGGTGACAAGTTTGCCAGCCGCCACGGACAGAAGGGCATCCTGAGCCGCCTGTGGCCGACGGAGGACATGCCCTTCACCGAGAGCGGCATGACTCCGGATATCCTGTTCAACCCCCACGGCTTCCCCTCCCGTATGACAATTGGGATGCTCATCGAGAGCATGGCCGGCAAGTCGGGCGCCCTGCACGGCCTCGGCCACGACGCCACACCCTTCACCTTTTCCGAGGAGAACTCGGCGCTCGATTACTTTGGCGAGCTGCTTCGGGCGGGCGGCTACAACTACTACGGTACGGAGCGGCTGTACAGCGGACTGAGCGGTCAGGAGCTAGAGGCAGACATCTTCATCGGCGTGGTCTACTACCAGCGGCTACGTCACATGGTCTCCGACAAGTTCCAAGTTAGGACGACAGGAGCACGAGACAAAGTGACCAACCAGCCCGTAGGAGGAAGGAACGTGCAGGGAGGCATCCGTTTCGGGGAGATGGAGCGAGACGCCCTGCTGGCTCACGGCTCTTCATTCTTACTTCACGATCGCCTCTTCAACTGCTCAGACCGCTCAGTGGCTCAGGTGTGCGTTGACTGTGGCAGCCTTCTCTCCCCTTTGTTGGAGAAACCGCCGCCCTACTGGTCATCCATGCGCCACCGTAAGACTATCTGCACCCTGTGTGGCAAAAGTGACTCTGTTGACTCGGTGTCTGTTCCTTATGTCTTCCGCTACTTTGTAGCTGAGCTTGCTGCAATGAACATCAAAATCAAATTAGAAGTCAAGTGAATTTTATAGGATGTAAAGATTCATGCCTTAAAGCGCCAACCCTGCACACTTTGTTCAGATGGGTCTCAATAAAGCTGCTCAAATCATGCGTGCCAACAGAAGACGATAAACGCATAACATGATGTCCATGAAAAGTTTTATTAGCCCCAAAAACATGACCAAGTATCAGTGTATGATGGGATGCACCGGTTGACAATCTTCTGCGATGAATAAAAATGTTCAGTATCAGGTTAATTTGTCATTGCTACAGTAGAAGTCAAGACTACTCGGATCCATTAAGAGAAATTATGAAATATTAAAAGTGCCACATTGGACTAAAATTTCACGCATGACCACCAAATGCACTGGGAATATAAAGTGTCCTGAAAATGTCCCCTTGGGGAAAGTGTGTGCTTATTACTTTACTGAGGTGCAACTAACAGTAAATTAGTGTAAAAGTGATCAGGATGAAGTAAAGGCACTGAGCCCGTTTCCCACAAAATCGTATTTTCTTCAAACAAAACTGTTTCAAGCTTGATTAAATAAGAATAAATTAAAACTGTCTAAAACTATTTTATCACAACAACGGAAAAGAGGGAGGGGTGAGCAGCTCTGGATAAAAGGTGAGTTGCCTACAGTGCTGGGATCATTACTTTTTTTAAGTAATGCGTTACATTACTCACTGGAGAAAGTAATTTGTCATCCCACTCATGACATTAAATACATTAGCAGCCTCTTATATAAACCTTACTGGGAATTTATGCTTCAGTGAGAATGCTGTGACCACTGGTGTAACCTGTAAATACACGTTGGCTCGAAGTAGTCGACAAACACTGTCGACCAGTTCAGTACGTCATTTCCTCTTGTGCATTTCCAGCTACTGCTTTGTTGAGGTTTTTGGATTTATTAGTAAGAGAATAATCGTCTCAGTATAAGGATAAATAATAATAGCATCAATATAAGGACTAGCAAATGTCAGCAAATTCCTGGAGGGAGATTGCTCAAACTATTAGAATCACCACAATGAAGAGCTGGATGCAGGAGGAAAAGAAGGCCCAGTGTCTTGACTGATACAGCATGTAAAACATAACCGCATGGTAATTAACACATAAAGACAGCCGCTTGCGTAGTTTATGTCGTAGGCTCTACAAAGCAGAAGTCTAAATCAGGCCTTAGGCTGCACTCCCACAAATCCCAGCCTATTGAGGACATAAATATTCTCTTATTTTAGTTTTAAGTGTGACTGCAGAGCAAAGTTTAAACAAAAAGACTTTGAATGGGTCAGCACTGTGATTCTACTGTAGAAGTGGAGGATACAATGCTGACTGCTCATTACTGCCTTTGCTACCTACTAAAGAGCAGGCTTTGGCTGCTCAGCTTTAACATCTGCTTGGCTTCCTGAATGCTAGTTTGTGTGGGCGTGCTGTATGTGCTGATGCTCGCAATGAGACGATGTTGTCTTAGCAGTATGATGCAGTTGTTTCTGTCCTGGACACAGTTTGCACTTTACCTGTACACTCTTGTACTTTTGTGCAATAAAACAAAAATAATGTCCATATTCTCCAATTTTCAAAAGTCTAAAGAGCAGGTAACCTAGTAATAGGACGGCTGGTGATTCAGTCCCCATCTGCTCCAGTCTGCACGCCTTGGGCAAGATACTAAAGTTGCCAATCCATCGGTGTATGACACTGTGAATGTTAGATAGAAAGCACTTACATAGGTAAGGCATAGAAAAACAGTGCTCGTATGAATGGGTGAATGAGGCAAGTTTTATAAAAGCACTTTAGTTCAGTCCATTTAACTCCTCCCAGCACACAAGCTGAAATTAGCTGATTATATACACGTGTTTTTATTTCATCATGCAGGTAACTTTGTGTAACTGAAGAATAAATTATAACTAATGTGATTACTGAATTGAATACAGAAATGCATGTGCTATGGAAAAATTTAACGTGATTACAATAGGGCATCAGTCTGAAATGCCTTGAACCCAACAGTGCCAATGTCAAAAACATGCTTAATAATCTCGTACAAGTATCTTAACTGTACTCGAGTTTTTAACTAAATGCAATTACTTTGACTGCCTCATGTGTATAATAGTGAAGCTTCAACACACTATGTTCAAAATTACGGTGTCTAAAATCCCAACCAGAAACCTCAAATTAAAATGCACCTCGTTGAACACTGGAAAACTAATAGGAGTAGTAGTCATATCTAAATCAATTATATCAATAGGTAAAAATTCCCACAACATCTCAAGTAAAACTCATTCACTCTTCACCAGTTGTTCTTATTGCAGCTGTGCCAGAATATCTGGTAATTCCAGAACAGTAGTGATAGTGTAGTCTGGCTTCTCTGACGCGCCCCCCCCTGCACTATTAATCCAAACTGTGGCCCGAACTCCGGCATTCAAGCCCCCCTGAATGTCTGTGTCCAGAGAATCTCCCACCATCACACAGTCCAGAGCCTCTACCTCCAGCATGCTGAAACACAACCTGAAGATGGAGGGGAATGGTTTCTGCTCTTTGTGTTCTCCTGCGATCACAATGGCATCGAAGAACTCCTCACATCCAGCCGTCGCCACTTTCTCTCTCTGGGTCTGGGCTACGCCGTTGGTCAGCAGCAGCAGCTTGTATCTGCTGCGCAGCTGTTTCAGGAGGTTGCATACTTGAGGAGACAGAGTGAGAAGCTCCAGGCGACTGCTTTTCCACATGTTATAACACTGAGCTGGCAAAGAAGGCGTAGAGCAATTCCCTACAGTCTCCTTGATGCTTTCCTCCCAGTGATGCGCACGGACATCATCTATGGTTTGACCAGCTGAGCAGTCAAAACTCTCATGGAACAGCTTCTGCTTGAACTTGTCACAAATGGTGCAGACGGTGCTGTCATCAAGGCCCAGCGTGGTCTTCAAAAATTCACTGGTCTGTATGAAATTCAGAAATTCACCACAAGATGTTAGCCTCCAAAATCCTTTTTTCATTTTATGCAAATGCAAAAAATTAAAATAGTCATCTGTGGCTGAAGAACAATCAAAGATACAAAGAAGGGCATTTATTTAGGTGGTTGCAGGGGCTTTAGTATTCTCGTACTCTAAACAAGCAATTTTGAGGTGCGACAGGATTTTAGTTCCTCACATGTATTATGTGCTTTTTTTTCTGATTTTTCCATGCTTTAGTGGCATTTGGAATTTTTGTAGCAAAATATATATATATAAAACAACTTTTTTTTTTCTAATCTCCCTTTCTTTATTCTCTTGTACAGTGTGAGTGTCGGGGATGGTCATCTCAGACGCACTGCTCTGTCTGTGAGCACACCCATCCACTAGCTGTTCAAAACTTTGGTTTGCAAGGATTAGCCAATCCGAAAGTTTTAGAAAGAAGGACAAACGGAGCCCCTGCCTGTTTAGTGATTAGCTGAATAGTGTCCCCTTCCGGACTCCGTATGCGGTCCTGCCAATCGGACAATAAAAGTGAAAACTAGGCAGCAACAGCAGCACAAACGTCCATAACAGCCACTCAGTTAGTTAAAATAGACAATAAAGAGCCCCGAACTGAAGACAGTAAAATAAATGTATCATTGGGTTGACTGAAAGACGTCACTAGTCTACGCACTTCCATGTAAAACTTACAAAAACCGACTGTAATTAGCTTACGGAAATAACTTAAATTCTAGGCGAATAATTTCTTTATTTTATTACCTTTTTTAGCGCCACTTCACCTGCTCGACTCGTTTCAATGAGCGTGTTGTCCAAATCAAACAAAATCGCTTTCACAGCCATGCCGTCAGCGGTAGAGGAGTGCTCTATCATTCTACGCCAAAACGCTGGTCGTTTGCGGAAGTGCTGCCGAGTGAAACGATTAATGGGAGTTGTAGTTCTAATTAACATCAATCCATTGCTATGTAGCTGTTGGATGGAGAGAGACTTCACATACTTAATTCAACTTCTGCTTCTCCTGAATTTGAATGAAATGCAAATGAATGAAGTTTTATTATTATTATTATTATTATTATTATTATTATTATTATTATTATTATTATTATTATATTCCTCCCTAGTTATTCCCTCTTATGTATCCCCGGTATTAATTGTTAACAATTTTTTGAGAAAACTAAAAAGAACATGATCGTCACGTGAATCGAATAGCCTTCAGATAGTTCCCGGAAGTGCTTAGCGGGTAATTACAATATATAAATACAGAACTTCAAAATTGCCTTTCCTACTGTAGTTTGTATTATACAAAAAGTGTAGTTAAATCTGTGGATAGTTTAACTTGCAAGCCTTACCCTCATATATTTTAAACTTGGTCTTTTTTCCCCTTTTTTCTTTTTTTTAAAGAATGCTAAATAACCACAGTCAAATAATAATATAATTACTATATTTTCTTGGAACAAAATAAACATTTTGAAGTTAATCATTTTCTGACAGTTGTTCTTCCTTGTTCTTTCAGTCATGTCGTGATAACTCTGACCGCTAATCTCTGACTAAGACTTTCGGGAAACGACATAATGGGACTGTAAGGTGACTATCAATGATGATTAAGTGCACTAGCATGAGGATAAGTGCTCTTTCTTATTAAATACAATGCACACTTAGTATTTCGAATGACTTACTCAAAGAGCTCTGGGCATTGTGATGTTTTTCCTCGCGATGGCGCCATTAAGACGAGGTATTGCATTTGTGCGTCCAGCATTATGTTGCAGATGAGATTCCTCGCTTTTTGTAATGACAATAATTTTAGTTCTTGTTTCCCCGATTAATAGTTACTAATACCTTTGATTATAACTTTATTCACACTTTGTCAAACTATAAATACACATATTTGCAAGCAGTACAATAGTACAAGTGATATTAACTTGAAATGAAATACATCAAATCAATCAAGAATCTGATCACAGTGACTCAACAAAACACAAAACATTTACACAGTTTTTGGAACTCAGCATCTATAGTGCATTGGTCTTCATGATTTAAACAACTTGATGAGATGTATTCTATAGTTCATGACATAAATTCTATTTATATTTTTTAAACTGGAGTTTTTATTTTAATCCTTTAACTATTAAAAAATAATAAATTAAATGTTACTGTCCATATAGGTTTTAATTTGTAAGATTTTTTTTTTGCTATATTGGTTTAAAAGGTCACTGTAAAATTTGTTCTGGTTTCTCAGAAAAAGAAAAAAAAATCACACTGAAAGGTCCCAAAAACTCATGTATCAAATATAATAGTTTTGGCTTTACAGCTTTAATTTATATTTCTAAAGCCTAAATATAGCAGCTTTCCTAAACGTATCCATTGCCTCATTATGATTTAGACTCTGTGCACTATTTTCCACAGCCCTAGTTCCCTTTTAATGCGTGCACTTTGTCTGTGTCCTGCTTATCTTAACCACCAGAAGGTGATGATAGAGCAGGAAACCATCAGTGTCATCGCTTGTCTACATAAATTGCCTACGTGACTCTTGACCAGGCATATTTCTAATTTAAACCATATTCCGTGACACACACTCTTTCAAAATAAAAACATACCTCAGTTCTTATGCAACCTGTCCTTAACGCTGTCTCATCTGGCAGTGAGCCAGAGGTTCACACGCAACAGTGTGCAAGCCTGTTGTACTCTTGTACCAAACCTGATCAGAAATCACAACAATCCTTTCTCACGTTACTTCAGAGGACTCTGTCTGCAGCTCGAGTGATTGTGCCTTTTTACAGAAACTGGGGCAAAAATAGTGTGGGAGGCTTAACCTGTTTTTATCTGCCAGACCAAACAGCACCTGATGCTTGCATGCGAATGATACACTTATTCAAATGACAGACATTAAATGAATCCAAAACCTCTTTTTTTTTACTCCTAAACTTAAAAGGGGAAACGAAACATAAACAGTGAATGAGTGAAGAGCACACTTACAAGTGTAAAGATGGAATTTCCCCCTCTCATGTGAGGGGGGGTGGGGGGTACAAATAACTTCCCTAATACTTGTCACTCTTTCCAAGAAAGTGCAGGCATCTGAATGACCGATGAGACCTGGTGTCTTTGTGTGCACGACAGCCATCCTCCTTTATCTGTATGGGTAACCGTGGCTGCACAGTCACACGCTATCTCTCAGCTGGTCACGAATCTCCTGCAAAAGACGGTTATTAAGGGTGCAATTCCTCTTTGTAACCTTTTCATAACAGGAATATGATATCAGGGTATTTTTGATCTATTTTTCCCCCTTCACTAGTTTAAAGATATTATCATCACCTGTTTTTTCTTGTGACCCTCACTTGGCTCTTCAGATCTGAGGTGCTCATCTGTGTTTCTGATCTCTTTATGTGTGTGTGTGTTTGTGCTTTTCGCGTGTCTTCTGCTCTCTGGACTAATTCTGGGTCAGGCCTACAAGTCATTGGGACAGGTGAGTGTAGGATATCAAAAGAAGGTGGTGATCATTTGTTATTAAATGGATTTTGCTGCTCCGCCTCATTATTAACAGCAGGTGAATATGGTTACCTGAACTTTACAGGCATGTTCTGAGTGCTACGTGACACCAGGCATGAATCGTAGGAATTGTGCAGGTCAAAAGATATGAGGATCCCCTCATGTAGATAGTACTTCATCTGCACTTCTCATAACCAGGTGACACAACGTTTCATTAAATCATTGAAATATCTAAATGCTCTTCAGTTCTGAAAGATTTGGATCTGTCATGCACGCTGCGTTAGGAAGGATAACTGAAACCTAGTTGTCCCTACTTTGTAAAGTTGCCTCCAACAAACCTCCCTCTGATATAGAGACAAACTGCCACACACACATATACACGTACAAGTGAGATTTAATCGAGTGTAGGGGAATGCATGAACTACAGTCTAAATAGAGAAACACCGGTGTGTCAAATGGCACTTGTTATGGAAGCAATGGGATGAGTTTTAAGCTGCACGTACACACAAACAAAATCAACACAATCCGGGGCAGGATGGTGCCTCCTCGGGCGGTTATGAAATGCTCTCTGTGATCAAGGAGCGATACGCCTTTCTGCACAGCTTATATAAATTGTGTGACCTATAGAAGTGTCTCCTCTACAAGCAGCAAATCTCAATAGTCAAATCTTAAGCTTCATGCGTCTCTTGGGTACTAAAAAATCCAAATGCACATAAACTGTCCACTTTCTTTGTGTTTTTTTTTGTGTGGCTGATTATCATCTGAAATGTGGCTACTATGAGTGTTCCTGTGTAGGAGAACATAGGACCTCCCATAGTAGTCTGGCTGGTTGCCAGTTCTTCCACTAGCCTCGGTTTCTGTGCTGATGCACCTGAGCTCTCCTGACCAGCCACTGAACCAGCGCACCAGCAGGGAGGCAGGCAAACTATGTGTGGGCAGTGGAGTATAGCACCGAGAGCATCAGAGCCATCAACACAGCAATCGAAAGCCAGTATCCAGAGGGCCATTTGTGAATTTATACTGTGCACATTGTCAGTGCTTTTTTTTTGTATTTGAAATCATAAAGTTGCACACTGCATCAGATAAATGAAACTTCTATGATAAAAAAAGACAAATTTGAGGTTAATAATTGCTGCTGTTGTCTTGAATATATATCTTTCAGCCTAAACAAATGCTTAAACAACTATCTAGTCAAAATTGGTGTCAAATATATTTAGTTTATTATGCAATTTTCATAAAACAATCTGTATTTAAATTCACCCTCCTAAGTGTTTACTTTTAAATCCCACATCTCCAGTTTGTAAAGCACTTTTTTACTGCAAATTAATACAAATACAAAGGAAAGACACAGACCAAACCAACAGGCTCAACGTATTAAAGTCCCAAAGAAAATTTCCCAATAAAATTATTTCATTTTGTTAATTTTCCAGCTCATCGAGTTTTCATTTCCATGAGCTAAAAGTGATGTCATTTCCCTAACACCTATAAGGATGTTGTATTTTATTATTACGGGCCTATTAAATCAGAGATGCTTGTTTTTTTTGTATTTGTTCCGGCAGGCCTACAAAAAAAAAAAAAAAAAAAAAATTCCACCTAACGAATAATTCACAGATTTCAGAAGAGGTGCGTTCATCTTAACAGTAAGCCCTGGACGGTGACTCCCTTCCTCGTTTCTGTTTAGGCAGGAACAAAGTCGCACGAATGACTCAGGATGTTAAAAATACACAGAAATGCTGCGTAACCGTGACTTGAAATAATCTGTGACTGCTGGTTTCACGAGAACGGCCAAGAAGTTGCAACAAGCTGAAAAGTTCCCCCGCACTGCTCTGCTGGCATGTCGCTGACATTAATTATAATGTCACATTTTCACAAGAGAGCAAAATAAACTGCCAGCAGAGTGAACCAGCTGACATATGTTTCCATGCATCCAATTACTTTTGCTTTTCAAAATGTACATTTATATCTCTTTAGGTGTGGTCAAAATATGGCTTTTTGTCCCATTTTTAATTATTGGAAAATTCTGATATATTTTGAGGTGACTGAGTGAGATTCAGACTCACAATACACTAAACCTACCTCAAAGTACACAATAGGAAATTCCTGTTATACATTCATGTTGTGAATATAATGAATATCGTGGATATCGTGTGTGTGATGACACAGCAGCGATGCTGAATGATTCTACATCGTGTCACTGTATGCCAGTGGTGCAGTTTTTCAGGCTGACTGGATGAAGACGAGATGGGGGAGGCTGGGACAGATGAGTGGATGAAGTGGATCCGAGGCTCTGATGGTTCCTTCTCACACGTGCAAGGAAAAACACAACACACATGAAACCATAGCCAGTCGCTTGTACTGCAGCTCCTGAAAAGCAATTTAATCTCTTATCAAATTATTTTTTTCTATCTAGGACTCTTTCAGTCTTACAGGG